CAATCATTGACGACAGTGTGGCGAGAGGTTAGCTGGGGAGTGCTAGATAAGGAAACATTCCGGACTGCTATCATCAACTCAAAGCTCTTCAGTGCTCACGAGCCAGATAGCGCAGACATTTTATTTTTTATCTGTGCTAGAGTACTCTCCAGTCCCTGGTTGATGAATTTTCACCAGTGGGGAAAGTGTCATTGGCCAGCAACTTCTGGCTCGGGGTAACTCCCAAGTGCTGCCAACTTCGATGACACTCACGCATGCAAGAGCAACGCTTCTGTTGAACAGACTTATCTTCGGATAGGCAGGTGGGCCGAAACGTGAACGGCACCGTGTCTCCCGTGGGAAGGAGCCGTCGTATTGGAACCGCAGATTCACGGAGCGGTCTGCTCAGCCGAGTAAGCCGTTGAGCTCTAAGGCGAATCTTCTGGGAACAAACATGGTGGTTAAACCAGGAATGAACTGTCCATCAGCGCAGAACCTAATGACTTCTCCCACTGAAAAGTTTGCTGAAGTCCGTAGAGAAACAGAAGGCAATACCCCAGAGTAATTCCTGTCACCAGTCCCAGCCATTCTGGATATGTTCATGCCATGTTCAGCCAAGAAGATCCAGAGGATCATAATGATTGCTCCAACGAAGTTCTGTGGGCTGGACCCACTGCCGAATCAAGTCATGAAAGGAGTTCCTTTCAGAGCTTCTGCCGTTCATTAGGCACACGTGAAATACTTCAATTGTTCAAGGTTGTCTACCAACTTGCCATGTCGTCACTGAATGGTTGAAGAAGGCTAAAGAAAACCCTTCTGACATTAATAACGCCAGGCAAATTTCGAATTTAACATTCATGTCGAAGATAATTGAGAAAGTAGTGAATCGTCAGCTTGTGGATTTTCTTAAGCAAAACAGCCCCATCCCAAGCCTGCAGTCAGAATACCGACGCAGTTGCTCAACAGAAACGGCAAACCTGAAGATCATCCGTGATGCATTTATGGCAACTGACCGTGGTGAAGTCACATTGCTCTGCCTACTGGACCTGTCTGCTGCGTTTGATACGGTTGATCACAGCATTTCAGTCAATCGTCTTCGGAGTACCTATGGCATTCAAGGTAATGTACTCTTATGGATTGAGTCCTTAATTACAGGTCAGACACAAAGAGGTCAGCTTTGCTGGTAGCCAGTGAGGAAGGTCACCGGTGCCATGCGGTGTGCCACAAGGTGGTGTACTTGGTCCGGTGCTCTTCCTACTCCACACCGCTGACGTCATCGGCATCTTCATAATATCTGCGTGCATTCATATGCCAAGGATATACAGCTCTACTTTCACTAAAAAGTCAATGTGTGTGTCTCATCGTGCATTAACGACATAAACAGCTGGATGATGTCAAACTGTCTGAAGTTGAACTGGAGCAAAAACGTAATACATTACACTTGGGACCCATCATCAGCTGGCAAGAGTAAATTGAGAGTACATCCACATAAATGGCTGGGATATTCAAGTGTCAGATAAGGCACTTGAATATGCGATGACTGTCGAGACAGCCAAGAGGCTTGTCCACGCATTTAACATCTGCCGTGCAGACTACTGCAACAGCATCTTCGGTTATGCCAGCACTGCGCACCTTCGTCCGCTCCAGACGGTGCAAAACTCCGCAGCTTGCCTGATAGCTCAGAAGCGGAAATTTGATTTCATCATGACTTCGATACGAGACGAGCTACATTGGCTACCTATTAAACACAGGATTTCTTACAAACTGCGCCTACTCATCTACACGAGTCTGCATGAATCCACTCAGTCCTATCTCGACGATTAGTGTGTACCGGTCTCAACATACTTAAATCGACGGCGTCTACGATCCGCAGCCCATGATAATCTACTGTACCCCGCGTGAACCTTGTGCAATAAGGTCAGCGCAGTTTCGGAGTCTCCGGCCCAACGACCTCGAATGAGTTACCAGCTCACGTTTGGGATCCTTCCCTGAGCTTGAGCCAGTTTTGCAAGAGACTTAAACAGTGTTGTTCCAAAGAGCTCACATGTGCGATCAGTGCTCATTCGTGATGGACTGGATTCATAAGTACTCGACAATAAATGCTCACTTATTTATTTAAATATTGCCTGTAATCCAGATCAATTGTTGGCGCAGGATCACCACCTGGCCGCCTTCCAGTGCCTGTGGTTCCTACTTAGCAGCGGTGAGATACAACGAAGCTATAAATGAAATCATTAAATTTTTTGCTGTTTATATTTGCTCATTTCCTCATTGAGCACAATGGATGCATGCAGTTGCTACGAGTGTGATCTCTCCCAGGCACACAGTGGCTTGACTGGAAGCATGACAACACCAAGGCGATGAACACATCTCCATCTTTCCCAATACGATTTATAAATGCACTGGAGATGTGGCCAGAGACGTTAATCCCGTGGGAGAGAACTACAGGGTGTTTAAAAAGATAGACCCGATTTGAAATCGCTATATCTCTGCAACAGCGAACGGCCCATGAATGAAACTCTTACCACTTGAAAGGGCGAGGCACAAAGTTTCAAATGATTACCGATAGATGCCTCTCCCAGCGCACAAACAGCCCCTAGCCTCAGTCATTCGCAAGTTGGTGACCCTGCAATACAAGGCGTTTTGCGTTCCGCAGTTCAGCAAGACTGAATCCGTAATTGCGGTGCAGCGTGCGTTTCAACGGCGTTTTGGCATTGATCCGCCAATGTAAAAGAGCATTCGTCGTTGGTACCGACAATTTGGGGAAACGGGCTGTTTATGTAAGGGGAAGAGCACAGGGCGACCACGCACCTCAGAGGAAAACGTGAGAAGAGAGGCGTTTGGAACGAATTTAACTATCGTCTCGATGTTGTCCGTACAGCAGGTGGAGGGCACAGCATTTATAAAATGGTTAGTAAAACTTGATAACTCATTAAACCATTTGTAACTTTGTGTAATTATAACATGTTGCCATCGTGAAATATACTGCTTTGAAATTGGGTTCATATTTTTGAAACACCCTGTATAAATGACAATACAGACTTTCAGGGCAGAATTTGAAGGTGATTTGAATTAATTTTATCACATGCCAAATGTTGCATTATGCACCTCTCATATCTGGCCCTCCATATATACACACACAAGATATGTGGAGCAGGAAAATGTCCTGCGTGTTTAATTACTTGTATTGCCCACAACGATGGCAATGGTTATTTTGTATTGCCATTCTATGTTTGTGTATGGCAATATGGTTCAGGAGCCAGATGCCAATGTCGAGGTCTGCTGGTCACGAGGGGGCTTCAGGAGAGCGAGTTGGTGGACATTTGCTCTTCCTCCTCCACTGATGGAGTGCCGACTACTATGTGGGCCCATAGATTGCCACTTGTTTACTTTTTCACTTATCCATGTGCAATACTCACTTTTGAAAGCGTAAACATTGCGTAATGAATGCCTCCAGACTGGACATACAGCATGACTTGGATAAATATCAATAGGCTGAGTCAGCCTCAGTATTTGTGTTTGATAAGGGCTGCCTCGCGTCCAGCCAGACTTTGAAAAGCCTGCGAGTCATTTCCCCATCCCACGCATCCATAGAGGGATCTATCCACAACTAGATTACACACCATGTGCCACGTCAGCACTTGTATCCAGGACTGAAGTGCGATACAAACCAGCAGGGGGCAACGACACATCAACCCATCGATTAATATCGTTAGCCAATATTCTTCCTTCATATACTTGTCCCTCCACATAAAACATATATACCTATATATACTTTACACATACCATTGGGCACAGCCTAATGGTATGTGGAAGTGCATAATTCCAGCAGCATTCAGTCAATACAAAAAACTATGATCCGTTTTCAAGTCTCAACAGCAAGTCAGGGCTTTCTTGAAGCAATATTAGTGAACTGCCAGATGTCTATAGGCAGGGGTCCCTTTCTCTTACAGATGGGTCCTCATGTCGATTATTGTTGTGTGCAACACAAGGAACTGGAATCCTAGATCCTTCTTGCCAGATCCCCATTAACTTGAGTGTAACACTTCCAGTCACCTCATAGCTAAGTTATCCATAAAGCGATGCAGTCTTTAGGATCAGGCTCCTTTCCAATCCTCCAGACTCACGCTCTCGTAGTCCTGGGTTTAGGTGAAAGTGTATACAATTATCTCTAATTTTTAGGCCAGAATATAAAGCGTGTGCTTTTAGATTTTGACGTGCTCGCTAACAGCACTTGGCACAAGTCTGTTAAGACTATAGGGGGATGTTTGTCTTTTGTGTTCGTGAGAGATGCAAGTGAGAGTGAGTAGAGGTGAGTACGAGAGCCAAACGAGAGGGACGTGAGTGAGAGTGATATGCAAGTGAGTAGACGTGTTTGTAAGATGAAAGTGAGAGCGTAGACGTGTGAGATGCAAGCGAGAGAGTAGACGTGAGTGTGAGAGATGCAAGTGAGAGTGAGTACACCGTGTAATAGATGCAAGTGAGAGAGTATACTGTGTGTGAGAGATTCAAGTGAGAGTGAGTAGACAAACGTGAGTGTGTGTGTGAGATGCAAGCGAGAGAGTAGACGTGAGTGTGAGAGATGCAAGTGAGAGTGAGTACACCGTGTAAGAGATGCAAGTGAGAGAGTATACTGTGTGTGAGAGATTCAAGTGAGAGTGAGTAGACAAACGTGAGTGTGTGTGTGTGATGCAAGCGAGAGAGTAGACGTGAGTGTGAGAGATGCAAGCGAGAGTGAGTACACCATGTAAGAGATGCAAGTGAGAGAGTATACTGTGTGAGAGATTCAAGTGAGTAGACAAACGTGAGTGTGTGTGAGATGCAAGTGAGAGCGAGTTAAGACTGTGCGCGAGTGGGTTGAGTGCATCACGGAGCGCGCGTGAGTCACTCAGCCGGGGAAGTCGCAACCATCGAACCCATCAACGCACGTGGCGGCGGAGGCGGATGATGTTGGCGGTGCCGGGAGCGACTCGCTCACGGCTCCCTCCCTCTTCGGGGTCGAGCGCCCTGGGGCCTCTTACCTGGCGAGGTCCAGGAAGGAGTCCACTGCCTCCTTCGACTGCGGCAGGACGACCGCGCCCGTGTACACCACGGGCTTCACGCCGCCCGCGCCGGGCTTGAGCATGAAGGCGAAGGCGACCCCCACGGAGGAGGCGATGAGAGTGGTGACGAGGAAGAAGAGGATGGCCAACCCACCGAGGCGTCCGAGCGAGCGCGGGTCGAGGCTAGCGGCTCCGGACACGAGGCTGCAGACCACGAGCGGGATGATGATCATCTTGAGCATGCGGATGAGCAGCTCACCGGGAAAGGAGAAGTACGTCTTGGAGGCGAGGCTCAGGTCGGCGTTGCGCACCGCCATGCCGATGCCAATGCCCAGCAGCACGCCGGCGACCGTGAGCAGCACGAGCAGGTTGCCGCGCACGAACGCGCGCAGCCGCGAGCTCCACGATCGCCTCTTCTCCTTGGCGGGTGCCATTCTTTCTCGTCGTCCCAACGGGGTTTTACCTCTCGAGGCAGGGGGGGTGGTGGTGAGCAGGCCGGGTTTGCGAGCACAGAGAGGGGTGGGGTGGGGTGGATAGACTGGTCCCTGGACAGCGGCGAGGAGAAGCGGCCGAGTGGATGAGCGCTCGGGGCGAGGAGAGTCGGGAGGGATTGTTGGTTGACAGAGAGGGGGGTCGGACAGTGAGTGAGGCGAGCAGCTGCAGGGAGAGAGGGCGAGCGAGTGGCGAGAGAGAGTGTTACTTCAGCTACTTAAGGAAGGCGGAATGACGCAACCATTGCGATATCCTGCATCGAGTGACGGTGGGGGGTGTGGTGGGGGGAGCGGTGGGACAGCAGTTAGCGCTGCGCTTGCGCCCCGAGTTCGATTCCCGCTCACTGTGTGTGAATGTCGCCTCCTGGGGAGACAAAGGCGGCCGGGCGTGGTGTTGCCCATCCACACCCTCGTGTGCCGTGCCGGCCCTTCAGAGACGCTCGCTAACAGCTCTTGCCCCAACAGTCTGTTAATAAGGCTATACGGGGGATCTTTGTCTTTGTGTGGTGATGGTAGGTGGTGTGTGGTGATGATGGTGTTGTTTTGGTGATGATGGTGAGGGGGGATTGGTGATGGTGTGATGATGGTGAGGGGGGATTGGTGATGATGATGGTGTTGTTGTCTTGGTGATGCTGGTGAGGGGGGATTGATGATGATGTTGTGGTTAATGGTGATGTTGTTCGTAGCGGGGCGTGTGCGTCGACGTCACATTTGTTCACATTCCAGGACCCACACACACCATGACGCCGTGAGACTGCCGTGAAATATCATCCACTCCCAGTATTGTGTTGGAGGGCGAGGCTCCGTTGATGGGGCAGAGTCCAGCCTACTTAAAGTTATCCTGCCTGGGGAGTTATCTCAGCCCATCATCCCTTCAGGATCGATATATATATATAAATGAGTACCACCTTGCGTGGGAAAGTCAACAGTGGCGGTCCCATGTAGAGACTCGTCCCCGCCATAGGAATGTTGAATTTCCACCACTGGCTTAAGGCCTCGACTTGGCCATTCCATCAGCCACACACACGGAAGTCTGTGAGTGCATTGATTTAAGCAATCTCTGGACGAGTATCGCCAATGTAGTGTCCCATCAGCAGTCATGTTTGACTGAAACAATGCTGAACTACCGGATAAGCCAGCCCTGGAAGCTACAGCCTGCATGTGGCGCGGTAGTTGACACAATGGATCACTTTAATTGTTCCCCCTTAGCGCGAGGGTGCACCACAAGTATCGTTTGGCGAGGTAAAGCGTGGGTACCCCTGCCAAGACGTCAGGCCGGTGTGCCAGAGGAGGCCAAATAGCGTCAGTTTAAGTGGTGTCATCACAACTACGCCTCTAAGGAACGAAACAAGTAGACTTCACAAATCTGGCTGTCGCCTGCCTGATGAAGCTAGTTGTAATTTCACTGGTCTACAGCCAAAATGCTTCCGAAATAAATGTAGTCAAACTTTAATTCTGGGTCACTGAGAATGAAAATGATGCTTACAATTGTTGATTGGCTCTAGTTTTCAAGATATGCTACTGGGTCAGTATATACAACCCTTAACTTGGTAATGGCGGAGGATAAGTGAGTTATAAAGGGAAGGGGTCTCAATTTACACCAGAAATTACTAAAATACATCTTTGACTGGATCTATGAATACATCTATGACTGGTTTTGGACAGTAATTTATTTTTGAGCAAAACAATGAATGATGCAATCTGAACCTGGTATTGCTTCATACATGATATGAATTGCATCATGTTATACTGGTAGGAACCTCCTGGTTACACCAGCCCACAAGGGATTATTGTGTCCGTCCGTCGTGCAGGAGGGGGTGGGTGGGGAGGGAGGGGCTGGGTGGAGAGGGGCTGGGTGGGGCTGGGTGGGGAGGAGCTGGGTGGGGAGGGTGGGGCTGGGTGGGGGGTGGGAGGGGTGGAGCTGGGCTGGGTGGGGAGGGGATGGGTGGGAGGGGTGGGGCTGGGTGGGGAGGGGCTGGTCACCCCGTGGTGCCCTTAAACTCAACGTCGGCTTGTGCCCACCCTCACAGTCGGGCATATTTGCGGAATACACCACGCCGCCGTTTACCCTGGCCATTGACCGAGCAACCCAACGTTCCTACCAGCTCCCTCCGCAGGAATGTGTTTAATTCAACTCGACCTTCCTCTGCGTTCGTGTAAAAATCCACCCACTCATGAATATTAATGAGGGGGTGGGCCTCATGTGGAGTGACGTCACGCGGGGGAGCCTCATGTGGAGTGACATCACGTGGGGGGGGAGGGTGAGCCTCATGTGGAGTGACGTCACGTGGGGGAGCCTCATGTGGAGTGACATCACGCGGAGGAGCCTCATGTGGAGTGACATTACGTGGGGGGGGGAGGGTGAGCCTCATGTGGAGTGACGTCACGTGGGGGAGCCTCATGTGGAGTGACGTCACGTGGGGGAGCCTCATGTGGAGTGACATCACGCGGGAGTGACGTCACGTGGGGGAGCCTCATGTGGAGTGACATCACGCGGGGGAGCCTCATGTGTAGTGACATCACGTGGGGGGGGGGGGGTGAGCCTCATGTGGAGTGACATCACGCGCGGGACACATTCTTGGCTCATTATAGTAGTGTAGGGGTGTCAGGGGAAGGATTCCCACCAATAGATGGGTTAGTGGGAGGGGTGATCGAAGAGATATAAGGAGAGAACGGGCGGGAAGAAGGGGCCTTTGGCGGGAACGAGATTGGGACGGCTGGGGGACAGGTGTGGATGGAAGGAAAAGAATAAAGGACGAGACCCCTGCAATCTGGTGTCGGCTCCTACTTTACATCTGGTGGCAGCGGTGGGATCTCATGGCTACAAAGAAAAATCCCCGCGGGAAAGAGCCAAGGGAGGAGGAAGCAGGGGCCGGGGATCCTTCCCATCCCGGGCAACAAGGGGGCCTGCTATCAGAAGCAGCAGCAGGGGGCCCGGATCGCCTGGAGGACACCATGGAGGACCGCATGGCCCGCGTGGAGAGGGCACTCCAGGAGCTCCTACAGAGGCTCCCTATGGGGGACCCGCCAGCACCGGGACCCCCACCCCCACGCGTACTACGGGAGGAGAGGCCACGGGACCCGGAGGCCGACCAGCCGGCCGGGCAACCAACCTCGTCACGCCAGCCGCCGCCGGTCCCGCCAAAACCCCCAGGGCTAACCACCCAACAGGGAGAGCAGGTGGCCGGACGGCCGCGTCGGCTGGGGCCCGTCGACAAGTTCGTGGCTGAGGAAGAAGACTGGGAGGAGTTTGTCCGCCGATTCGAGGCTGCCTTCCACGCTCTCGAGTGGACAGACGAAGAGGCACTACGAGCGCTGCCATCCGTTCTGGGCAAGGAAGCACTCGCCTCTTACACCTCCCTTCCCTCGCACAGCAAGACCACGCTACAGGCGGCCTACGAGGCTTTGGGGGAGATCTATTGCCCGGCGGAAGGGGCCTTTAAACGGTTCCAGGATCGCCAGCGAGGGGCTAAAGAATCCCCTTTATCCTACAGGGGTGCACTGCTCGTGTTGGCGAGGAGAGCTTTCCCTCGCCTGGCTGAAGAAGCGCTCGAGGATCTCGTGGTCGAGCACCTCATCGCCTACGCTTGCCGCGCCGGCGTTGTAATGCCCGTGGTGACGCCGGGGGAACGCACCTCGCTGTGGGCTGCCCGGACCATCCAAGCCCACGAGCAGGTCATGGGCCGGGCGCCACCCGTGGGCCCGGTAGCTGGCGCGGCGGGGGGGAACAGCCGAGCCGTTGCCGCGGCACTACTGGGTCCAGCGACACCAACCGCCGAACCTGCACCGTCGCCACAGGCTGCCTGTGGAGCAGCTGGGGACGGACCCCCGACGTCTGAGACGGAGCCATCGCTACGGGAGGTGTACGCGGCGATCCGGGGACTGGCGGAGCAGAGGGACCAGGGGCGCGACCAACCGCCGCGTCGCTGGCAGCCGCCTCTACAACATCGCGCCGAGCCCCCCCGACGGAACGCCCCGTGGGTCTGCCACCGTTGTGGTCGAGAGGGGCATGTGGCGAGGGGGTGCCGCACAGAGCCGGAGGCCGCCAACGTTACCTGGAACCCGCCGGGGCCGAACGCCGACAGGATCCAGGCGAGTGACGCCGTCCTGCCCGGCCTCTCGGTCGGGCCGAGCAATTATAATTCCGACGCCGCGAACTTACCGGGAGTCTCCTCGGGGTGGGCGCCGTCGGTGTCGTTCCCCGGTCCCCATTGTCCGGGTCGGGGGAAGGGAATCGCGCCGGGGATAGCGCCGGGGCCTGGGATTGCGTCGCGACCAGGGGTGGCGTCGCGACCCGGAGTGGCGTCGCGAACGGACGTGACGTTGCATCCGGGAGTGACGTCGCGGCCAGGAGTGGTGTCGCGGATCACGTCGGGGATCGCGCCGAGGCCGGAGACCGCGTCGGGAGTCGCGCCGGGGCCGGAGACCGCGTCGGGAGTCGCGCCGGGGCCGGAAGGGACGTCGCGGGCGGACGTGACGTCGCGGGCGGAGGTGACGTCGCGGGCGGAGGTGACGTCGCGGGCGGAGGTGACGTCGCGGGCGGGCGTGGTTTCACCGGCGGGCGTGACGTCGCGGGCGGGCGTGACGTCCCGGGCGGGCGTGACGTCGCGGGCGGGCGTGACGTCGCGGGCGGGCGTGACGTCCCGGGCGGGCGTGACGTCGCGGGCGGGCGTGACGTCGCGGGCGAGCGTGACGTCGCCGGCGGGCGTGACGTCACCAATTGCCTGCGACGCCGGCGAGTTGCCAGGGGCAACGGCCCGGGGGCGGAGGCAGCCCACAAGATTGACAGTGCGCCCTGAAGCAGTTCCACGGGCCGCCTCACCACCGCTTTGCGGCAGATTGAGACGGAACCAGGGGGACCATGCCCCCGTGACAAAGGGAAGGGAGGGGAGAAGGGAGGGGCTCACGGGAAGGCCCACCCCCCAGTCCCCACTGCCCCCTACAATGGGGGGGGCCCCCCACACCACAAGGGGGGCCCATCCTACGTCACCAAAGGGGGGCAATTTGCACCACACAGAGAGCCCAGCCCGCAACCCAGGGGTAAGCCCACACTATGTAACAAGGGCGCGTTCACCCTGCTGCGACGCACTCCAAAGGGAGGAACCCCATCTTCAGTCCATTCACATCCATCCCCCATCATTTCACCATGCACCACAGGATAACGAGACGCCGCCTGGTCAGTGGCCGGACTCAGCCACACAATGGAGGAAGCTGGCAAGGCGGGTGGTAGCGGCCACGTCAGGAACCTCGGTCCTGGTCGGTGAAATCGCGGGAGTGTCGGCACGTATCTTGGTTGATACGGGGGCATCAGCCACGATCATCTCGAGCACCATGCACGAGATGCTGCCGGATAAAATCCGACCTTTAGTCCCCGTCAAGACAACGTTCATTGCAGCAAATGGAGGCAGCATGGGCTTCCTGGGCCAGGTTGAAGCCCCGATACAGATTGGGCAGCTTTCGGTAGCAGGACCCATCCTTGTCTCCGCAACATTGCCCGTACCCTGCCTGTTGGGGACGGACTTTCTGAGGCGGATGCCAATGAAAATCGATCTGGCCAATGGGCGGGTGGAAGTCCAGGGAACGCATCTCCATTTCCTAAAGGCGGAGGGAGCCAGCCGGGGAGTACCCTACGTGCAGGCTCTGGTCAGTAAGTCTGTCTCCATTCCCCCGGCAGCCCAGATGCTGATTCCGCTGCAATATCGGTCTCCCCTCGTGACAGCCCGACCAGACTCACCCATCCTGGTGTCTCCGGCATCAGCTGCCATGGATCGCCATGCGCTGGTGGGGGCCGAAACTATTGTACAGAGGAACCAGCATCTGTTCATTCAGGTGCTGAACATCTCCGATAGAACAGCGACGGTGCAGGAGGGAACAGTTCTGGCCCACGTTAGTCCCTTGTCACAAGGAGCCCCAGGGACAAAGCCCGAGCTTGTAGGCAGCATCAGCCAGTCCGAGGACAGAGGGGCCGAATCGTGGATGGACCAGCTGGCGGGGCCTGAGCCGGGATTGCCGCCCGACCAGAAACAGCAGCTGCACTCATTATTGCATGAGTTCTCGGACGTGTTCAGCCGGGGACCGTTCGACCTAGGGCGCACAAATCTGTCGCAGCACCACATTAACACGGGAGATGCCGCACCCCTGCGCCAAAACACATATAGAATGAGCCCAATGGAAAAAGGGCACATTCAACAAGCGGTGCAGGAGATGCTGCGGGCCGACATAATTTCTCCATCCTCGAGTCCCTGGGGGGCACCGGTGGTCCTAGTCAAGAAGTCAGACGGGTCACTGAGATTCTGTGTGGACTTCCGACGCCTCAATGCCGTCACGCTGGCCGACGCATATCCCCTACCACGTATTGACGACTCATTGGATGCACTGGCGGGAGCAAAATTTTTCAGTACGCTGGATTTATTGTCCGGGTTCTGGCAGGTCCCACTAGACGCGGACTCCCGGCCTAAAACAGCGTTCCGGACACCACAGGGCCTGTTCGAGTTCAACTGCCTGCCTATGGGCCTCCAGACTGCGCCGGCGACGTTCCAACGCATAATGGAGTTGGCCTTAGCAGGCCTCCAATGGGAAACGTGCCTCATCTACCTGGATGACGTCATTGTCTTCAGCCGATCATTCGAGGAACACATTGACCGATTACGTCAGGTATTCCTGCGGTTCCGGAACGCGAACTTGAAGCTCAAGCCGTCGAAGTGCCACCTTATGCAGTCGTCGGTACGCTACTTGGGCCACGTCGTCAGTGAGTCTGGAGTGGCTACAGACCCGGAAAAGACGGCCTGCGTGAGGGCCTGGGCTGTTCCCACAACGGTTCCAGAGGTACGCCGGTTTGTGGGTTTCGTTTCTTATTACCGCCGGTTCGTACCCAACTTCGCAACCATTGCCAAGCCCTTGCACGTGTTGACGGCGAAGAACCAGAGGTTTTATTGGGGCCCTCTGGAGGAAGAGGCATTCCAGCAGCTGCGCTCACGTCTGACAGATGCACCACCATTGGCTTTTCCGGATTTTGGCCTCCCCTTTATCCTGGACACGGACGCCAGCGATGTGGGCATCGGCAGTGTTTTGTCGCAAGTCCAGCAGGGTCGCGAGGTGGTTATCGCCTATGGTAGTCGCGTGCTTTCATCAGCGGAGCAGCGCTACTGCGTCACACGTAGGGAACTCCTGGCAGTCGTTCACTTCGTGCAGCAATTTCGACCCTACCTGTATGGTCGCAAATTTACGGTCCGCACTGACCACGCGGCCTTGCAGTATTCGCTCCGCATCGACCAGCCTTCGGGCCAGCTGGCCAGATGGATAGAGCGCCTGCAGGAGTACAGGTACCAAGTAGTGCATCGCAAAGGGACCAGACATGCCAACGCAGACGCATTGTCCCGACTGGCGCCCCAGGGCCCTTGTGCATGCACCACAGGCGGGGCACGCTGCAAGGAGGCGAGGCCGGAGGGGACAGTCATCGCTCCCGTACGCACGGCGGAGGACGCACAGGGTGAGGTCCAGCTGACCGACCACGACCTGGGGCTGACCTTGGACGATTGGCGACGGCTACAGCTGGAGGAAGCCCCACTGCGAACGCTACGCGCCTCAGCAGAGGCAGGGGGGGAGGAGTACATCGTATGGGAGGACCTCCTCATGCGATGGGACCCGACAGGGCGCCGACGATGCCTGGTAGTTCCGGAGTCGCTGCGTCAACAATTGGTTATGGACGTACACGGCCGCCAGCTGCTGCACCTGGCGGGGCGGAAGACACTGTACACATTACAGAGTCGGTACTTTTGGCCAGGTATGACCGCTGATGTGCATCGATGGGTCGCTACCTGCGTCGAATGTGCGCGGCGAAAGCCGCCACCCCGGGTAAGCCGGGCGCCCCTACAGCCCATCACGGTGACCAGGGTCAACGAATTGGTTGCGTTGGACATCCTGGGACCACTGCCGGTCACGCCACGGGGAAATAAATACCTGTTGGTCGGAGTCGAGTACTGCACGAGGTGGCCGATGGCGTGGGCCCTCCCGGACCAAACGGCACAGACCATCGCCGATGCCTTCGTGGGAGGCTATGTCCTTGATAAGGGGGCACCGGAGCGGTTGCTCACGGATCAGGGCAGGAATTTCTCCTCACAGCTATTGAAGGACGTCTGCTCTATCCTGGGCACTAAAAAGGTCCGAACATCTCCGTATCATCCCCAGACCGATGGGATGGTAGAGCGGCTTAACCGCACCATAGCGGCCATGCTGTCCCAAGTGGTGGACGAAAACCATTCCGACTGGGACCTCCACATTCCATCTGTCTTAGCGGCGTACAGGGTGGCCCCACACGCGGCGACGGGGTTCTCGCCGTTTTTCCTGATGTACGGACGGGATCCCGTTCCGCCTATTGAGGTGCAGTTGACGGACATTCCCGCAAGAGCCGACGCATGGCCGAAGGCACTAAAGACCTCCCTCATTTATTTGAGAGAGGCCCGCCAAGCAGCCGAGGCCGCATCGGCCACGAGCCAAGAGAGTAATGTACGGATACGGGAGAGGACAGTGACAGCCAAGCCCTTCAAAGTCGGGGACCAGGCATGGCTACACTGTCCTCAGGTGCCGGTTGGCCTCTCACCAAAGCTGCACCGACCCTGGAAAGGGCCGGTCGAGGTCATTAAAGCACTCCGACCGCAGTGCGTCCAGGTCCAACTGGGTAAGCGACGATGGTTTGTACACCCCACCCGCCTTAAGCCATACATCTCTCCACCGTCATCTTCACCAACATCACCACCAACATCACTGCCAACATCATCATCATCCCTACCCAGGCCAAGGTCGCCGACCACCACGCACCGACCGGCAGGGGGTTCGGTGCCCTGTGTTCCCTTGTCACCTACAGCACCCCATGTGAGGCCTGACGGAGCGGCGGCACGAGCGGGGGCCGGAGAGACAGCGGCGCCGGGCAAGGCGACACCAGCACCACCGAACCAGGGACCGCGACGAGAGGGCCTTCGAAGGAGGGGGCCGCCACGGTCATCTGCTGCCTGTGGATGTCCGGGCTGTTACGGGATGCTGGCTGGAGACCTGGGCAGGCCGCGCAATTGATTTCGTTGTGTTATGTTGCATTGTATGGTTGTGGGGGGGGTAAGGGCTGTCGTCACTGTCAGTGGGGGGAGGCATGGGGAGATTTAAATGGTCCATGGGGGAGGCAGAACCGAGGACGGTTATTTTTTTCTCCGGGGGGGGGGGTGATGTAGGGGTGTCAGGGGAAGGATTCCCACCAATAGATGGGTTAGTGGGAGGGGTGATCGAAGAGATATAAGGAGAGAACGGGCGGGAAGAAGGGGCCTTTGGCGGGAACGAGATTGGGACGGCTGGGGGACAGGTGTGGATGGAAGGAAAAGAATAAAGGACGAGACCCCTGCAATCTGGTGTCGGCTCCTACTTTACAGTAGTAATAAGTGACTGGCTTACCTTTCATATACTTTGCACCCCTATCGTGTTTTTTAATTGTTTATTAATGTAACTTTCTGAGCCGCCCCAACTGGATGTCTATGATAAAGAGCTTCATAGCTCATCAGATTCCTCACGATGGCGAGATGTTAACTCAAGCCCGTAGCCATGGAGTCAACATTGGGGGAGACCAAATATTCCAGGGGGTCTAGGGGTCGTCTTCCCAAAAAAAAATTAATTTGAAAACTAATTTCCTGACATTTCCTGCCTAAATATAAAAAAATCACTAACACATGGGATGGACTTTTTATTTATTTTTTACAATGTAATACAATACACTATTGTGTATTGTATTACATTGCTCCTTTTTTTCTTTTTTTACCTTTTCTTGTTTCATTGTATGTAATGGCAGAGATTAGGGATTAATATAGTACAACCATAACCACATTCATATGAACAGAAACCTATGCATTGTTATATGAAGACAAGTCCAGATATTGTGGCCAAGGTTTGGCAAATTGTTATTTTTATTTACATAGCATAGCAATTTTATTTTTTTAATATTGTTTATAGCAATATATTGAGCATAGTTTAACACGTAGGCTTTCGCGACCAATATTATTCATAATCAACGTTTTTGGGTTTAGATCGCGTTATTTATAAATGTGTCGTAACCCTCCACCACCCGATACGGCCAATCAGTAAAAAAGTGTCACGTTGACAAAAGACAAATTAGTTCACTGCTTTAGCCCACCGGTGTGTTGAAGCGCGAAACCACAACATTTACAATTTGAGTACGACGTTTCGCTGGTAATTGATGCTGGATGCAATTACCAGCGAAACGTCGTACTCAAATTGCAAATGTTGTGGTTTCGCGCTTCAACACACCGGTGGGCTAAAGCAGTGAACTAATTTGTCTTTTGGATGCAATTACCAGCGAAACGTCGTACTCAAATTGCAAATGTTGTGGTTTCGCGCTTCAACACACCGGTGGGCTAAAGCAGTGAACTAATTTGTCTTTTGTCAACGTGACACTTTTTTACTGATTGGCCGTGTCAGGTGGTGGAGGGTTACGACACATTTATAAATAACGCAATCTAAACCCAAAAACGTTGATTATGAATATTGAGCATATTTTAATAATAGACACATCCTTCCCCCCTCCCCCCCCCCCAATATATTATAATTACAGCCTTGTGTTAACTACCTCGCCTGGTATACAGGAGGTCGTGGATTCGATCCCAATCTTGACGCCTGTTGTATGCTGTATTTGGAGTTTGCGTCTCTCTCCCCGTGGTCACGTGGATTTTTCTCCCGGTCCTCCGGTTTTTCCTCTCCACATTCATAATCAACACGCGTTTAGAGTATTTGGCTGCTTTTATACACACGATCAGCCACTTTGTTGAGGTATCATTTGTGATAGCCAGGTCGCTTTTGAAAAAGAGTTACAGTATATAGCTCAGTGGGCTATACCTGGTCAAATGAAAATAGTTTTAAGGGGTTGTTTGAATAAAGATTCTAATTCCGATCCAATCTACTCTAAATAAAGCACTCAACTGCTGTCGGGCGTCTCTGTTTAATCAAGGTCGTGGGCCATCTCCATTGATTGCCCTGGGGGTATTTAGTCTCACGGGTTTCCAGATGCGTCCCTCCTCCACATTTTAGTGTTTCAATTGTGTTGTGCATTATACTTTTGTTTTTCTCGCATTTTATACTTCGTATTCTTTTTTTTCGATTTAAAGCTTTCGTGACTGCAAGGATTCATCTTCTTGGTTCTTTCGGTAAAGTCACGTAGAAGGGAAGTAATAAAATAATAAAAAATAAAACATAATGAAATAATTCTCACGACGTTTCGGCCACAACGTATGCAGCCGTCACCTGAGGACGGCTGCTTCTTTGTGGAGCTCTTCAATAATTTCCTGTTCATTGTTATTGGTTATGACAGCAGGATGTCAGTGAATCTGCGCTGATTATTGCTTTCTCTGTTTATATTTGTACATTTATTTCTCCAAATTTGTGTTTAAATATATCATGTTCTGTTGTTATGAATCGCCAATGACAATCACCCAGAATGCGGTCGCCTATATCTCGTCGGATCTTGGAAGCCACGCCGGGTTGAGCCAGAATCGGGTTTACTGCTCCGAGATAGAGGCTCCCCACTCATGAATAAATGAAGTGTTTAGTTTGTTATCCTCCCCCCCGCACCTCCGATTAGCACGGTTGGCTACGTACGGTGCGAAAGAAGTTCAACATACAGATACAGACATACAAATACATTCCTCAGCAACTAAAAGTGCCTTACATGGCATCTCATGTCAACCATTCGAAGGGGGCCCCCAGTGGCCGCCCTGTGTGAAGCAGATGAGCCCATAGTATTTACGGTTAATATACCCACCATACAGTATTAACCAGGGCAGCCTGTGGCTAACGCGCTCAGGCTAGGCCACGTCTCACCGCCCACCTTGACGTTTGTGTTTCGGTGCATACATGGGCAGCAGCAGAAAGAGCAGCATTCAAACATTGTTTAGCTGAAGATGACAAACAAAAGCGGGCTAGTGCCGTGGGCGGCGCGTTCTGAACGAAGCAGCGAGAATCAGGTTTTGTCAGGTGAAGGCTGTGGTTCTCCCACGTCGCGTTGCCCACGTGGAGCCACGTGCTCAGTATTCAGTTTCCTCTCCAGGCTTTCACATCGCATTGTTGCGGGCGCGCCTGAATGAGTTGACGAGAGAGAAGACGGCCGCCGCACCTCAGTGGTGGAGGCGCTCAACAAGCGCAGCAGCCTGACCCCGGAACACCACGCGTGGATTTACTAAGCGGCTGCGAAACCTCGTGTGTTTAAAAATAAAAATCCCCACACAGACGGGAGATGCCCGTGGATTTGGAGGCAGGTCCGCGAATCTAAACAGATGTTTAACAGAGAGAGGCAATCCAAATAGCTGTGAATTTAATAATAATTAAGTGCATCGTTCGTCAAAAAACAACAGTTACATAACACACTAACCTTGAGCATTGCTGTGCAGTATATGCTTAGCAACATAATATGCAGGCAGTTTGCCTCCTGCACATAGTCGCCTCTCCACACAAATTAGCAGTGTCTTTTTACACGCATCCTGTCAACCAACACAACCTTATGAGTGCATAATTTCAGCAGCATTAAATTAATACAAGCCAACTGTGGACTTGTATTAATTCTAGATTTGAAGCTTTCGTGACTGCAAGGATTCATATTCTTGGGGGTTTTTTTTCACACGCTGGTTTCCTGCTTTAAGTTTTACCCACCAAGCAACATAGCAGGAGGCTGTTTCTTCCTGACCGGCTTTTTTGCTTTTACTATCTAAATAGCAGTGGCTCAGTCGCATTAGCAACAGCCGCACTTTAACAACTCTGGTACCCCCCCTCTCAGCCAGTCTACATAACAAAGGCGCAGTCCTTTGTTATGTAGACTAGCCGTAGCTTCAGCCGCACCAACCTTACCATAAAAACTCCTATCCAGGGGTGTGCCCTAGCTCCTCCCCCCTCAACCAGTATATATACGGGGTCGGATCTCTTGGAATTTTGGAATTTCTCATTTACTTGATACAGCAAGCGTGCTGTGACGGTTCCACCTGAAGACGGAAGCTTGTGTTGCCTCCGAAACGTCGTGATGTTTTATTTATTTTACTTTTATTAATTTTAATTACATTTTTTTACCTACGTGACTTTACCGAAAACACCCCAGAATATGAAGACTTGTATTAATATTCAGTGTCTCTACAGCAATCAGGCTTGCGTGAACTAATGATAGTGAACCGCCAGATGCTTATAGGCAAGGACCCTCTCTTAGATGGGAGTCCTGGTTCAAAGCAGACTAATGGATAACACGAAGTAATAAAGCCCTGTGGCCAATCAGTTGTGTAAGAAAATACCCTCAGTATGTGGGGAGACAGAGACGGGAAAGCGGTATGGTCTGGTTATCCACATTGCAGTGAGACGCGTCCTTCATGTGTCTTTTGCACTTCACTGCCAACGGTGGAAAACCACCCAGGGTCTAAAGACAGTGCATTCCACCAGTAACCATACACGCAATAATAATTAACCACACTCAGATTGGGGTTGTTTTTTACAAAGAAGCCACATTGAAGCCTGTCGTAAGACTAGAATTAGACTTGTGACTCAAGCACTTATGAAACGCGGTTCAATTCGTTTTGGAGAAAAATTGACAAGAGCCCGGTCACGCTGCAACTACATTGGCAGTGGTGCACAAATAAAAAACATCACATTCCTCAACAACACTGCCTCATGTGCTATGTAGGAGGAGGGTCATTGTCCCAAACGTCACCAATCGCGATGGTGTTCCTCTTCACGGCCACATATTTATCACCAGACTGGTTAGCACGGCTGGTAAGGAGATAAAAGTTCACGAAGTTCCACCCTCGAGGTGTGGTGATTTTTCCCCAAAGTGGGAGATGTTCATCCCCTGCCTCTCCCTGTCCCCTCATTGAGCCACCGCAGCGCCCTTATTGGGGCAGGAGATTACACCCGACGCCTGTATGATCGTATCGTTCGTATGTGCACTGTACAGGACTGGTACAGGACTGGTTGTTTTGAAACGCGTGATTAAAATGTGGATACGATTGAGAGCACCGCGGTGATGAGATGGTATCTCCCTCGCCGGGTATGCAGGAGGTCGTGGGGTGGATGCTGAACCTGACGCCTGTTGTATATGTTG